AAGGCGAGGACAGGCCAATGGGGGCCGGGGTTTTTGATGTCTAGTTTTCCAGGCTCGTTATTTTTGAGCTAGGTATCATTTTCAGGGAAACATAATATACATTATATAGAGGCAGAAATAAAAGGAGCCTTTCCCACTTGTGGTTGCCTGCCAAATGGACTTTTTCTAGACTTATGGCACATAGCTAAGCATGCAAACTTGTAAATCAGACTCTCCACGCTTGAAACCTAACTGTCTCTTATCTGGGAGAGCTTTGTCTGTTATTTAGACTAAGTCTCAGCTGCCTCATATAGTACAGTAGGGTTATTGTAAGAGTCGAACAAGATACTGTACATTGAACGTTGATACACAGAAAGAACAGACCCAATAAGAGTTGGGAATTTTAAAATCCTCATGGACCTCTGACACAATGAAAGTTTACCCTTAAAAAAATAGGTATCTCTGACCTAGTTACTTCCTTGATGAATAATACAGTATTGCAGCCTGTCCGCTGTAATGTGTGTGCCTAGAACACCAATTAGCTCACTTGTAATGGGCAGATAGGGGAGTGATGACAGTATAACATGAAAGTTGTGTTCTTCACATGTATTTTTCCCCAGGCAAGGAGAGTGGAGATAGCAAAGGAGAACAGCAACTTCAGTGGAAAAGGCTGAGCATGGCTTTTAGTTCTTTTTTTTCCTGCCCTTAATTTCAAATGAACACCCATACTTGGGGCTCCTCCTCAAAAAAGCACACTCTAGCCTCGCAAGTTCCAGGCTGTACTTCCTCTATGCCTACCTTCAGAGATGCTCCACTGGCTCGCAGAACCCAAAGTCAGAGAGTCTACTGTATTATTTTTGTGCACTTTTAATACTCCCTGAAGCAAATTTGGGTCTAACTGAGCTGCTTGTCTTGGATTCCAAGTTATCTATTAAGGCACCAGTTATTGTTTCTGTTGGTAGGCGAATTACAAAGTTGCCTTTAACCCTAGTTTTCCCATAAGCTCTGTTAACTTTATTGTGCGCTTTTGTGCAGTGTGAAGTTTTTCAGGAAAGTAAAGAAGTGTTTTCACGGATGCCCAGTTCTTTTCAAGTGCTGCAGAAGGCAGCAACAACGGAAGCCCAGACGTGTAAAGGGACTGAACAAGGCCCTCCTTGCGCAGCATGATGTGCTCAGTAGAATTCCAGGCTGCAAAGCTGGCTTAGCAGGCTCTCAGTCCTGCAGGCTCTGAAAGTACTTCCTACCCCAGGGCACTGAATCAGGATGCTTAACCCTGCCAATGCGGTAGAAATAACACTTGTCCTTTGTGTTTCTGCTTCACACAGAGAAGGTATAATAGCGTGGATTAACTAAATATATTTCTCAATAAAATCTTTCTTTTCACTTTCTTTGAAATTTGTTCAAGAAGGAAAGGAAAAGCAAAAGAAAAGAAATATATATATATGTGTGTGTGTGAATATATATAATTACAAAGATAGTTAAAACAGTTACACTACTAATTTCTCTCAGTTCATTGAAAAGATAGGTTTGTGCTAATATTGTTTGGACAATTAAATGCTGATATCTCATATGTATTAACCATTGTTACCCTCCTATCATATGGTTTTGGAATTTTGTGGGGTTTTTGGCTTTTTTTTGTTTCTTTTTCTTTAAGATAAATACTTTTAAAAAGGAAAGAAATTTATTCATAGAAATGCACTTTGATTCTCCCTGTTTTCCCCAGGCTTGCATAGAGTTCCTACTTCCCTAGAATCCCTATGAGAATTTGTTCCTGTCTATGCCGGAGCACTGATGGCATTTTGCCTCTTGTTTAGGAGAGAGAGAGAGAGTGTTTTACCTCAGTTTAACCAAAAGTTCCTTGAAGGTAGGGACTTCATCTATTTCATCACTGTATTTCCTGCCTGTTGCCCAGCACCATGGCTTTCACATACAAGGACTTAATAAATGTGTACAAAATGAGCAAGTTCCTCCCAAAAGCACTGATTTTTTTTTTTTTTAACTTGAGCCCTTTTTGTGAAGAGTATCTAACAAAAGTATACTACAAATCCCACTGGGTGGTTAGAAGACATGATTTTGCATTAACATTTTCCTGCAGCATGATGATTGGAAACTATTCTGGGAAAGGAGGGACCACAAAGCAATGTAAGAATATTACCTGAAATATTTTATTCATAGTTTTGAAAAATTAATAAGCAACAGACAGGAATCATTTAATTTGGCTGCTCTGATAGTTCCTGCTGCTCTCGCCAAGGCTCTGGGAGTCGAACAGTTTCCCAAGGGAATACAAGTTCAAAACAGACCTCAGGTGATTTCGGCTGAGATAGAAAGCTCACTAACAACTGGCAGGGTTCCTTGTTGACGGCAAGGAAAACACGTGGGCTGGAGTCATGGGAAGGGCTCACTGCTTGGACTGAAAGCTTCATTGTCCCCCTCTTCGTGATTGCCTAGGTATCTGTTCAGTGTCTGCCGTCCAGCCCTCTCCTTAACACTGTAAGAATAAAATTTTAATAAAGAACTCACAGTAAACAGCTACAGATAAAACTATTCAGAGTAAAAAGTAATATTTGCATAGTCCTTTAAAAAACGTACAACATTCACTGCTTCATTTAACCCCAAACAATTCGTTTGTATTAGCTTGCTAGGGAAGTCATAACAAAGTAGCAGACTAGGGGAGTCAAACAATAGAAATGTCTTGTCTCCCATTCTGGAGGCTGGAAGTCCAGGACCATGTTGTCTGCTAAGCTGGTTCCTTCCAAGAGCTGCTCCATCCTTCTCATCCAGCTTCTGGTGCTTTGCTGAAAAATCTTTGTTATTCTTTGCCTCATAGATCTCTTCTTTCATCTTCACACAGTGTTCTCCCTATTGTATGTGCACATGTGTGTCTGTGTCTAAATTTCCCCTTTTTAATTTTAATTTTTAAATGTATTCATTAGTACTTTTTTGAGATGGGCTCTTGCTATGTTGCACAGGTTGGCCTCAATCTGTTGGGCAAAAGGGATCCTCCACACTTAGCTTCATCAGTAGCTTGGATTATAGCTGCACGCCAACAGGCTCAGCTAAATTTCCTTTCTTTATAAGGATTCCATTCATTCTGGCTTAGGAGCCCATCCTACTGCAGTTCTACTTCCTCTTAACTAATTATAATTGCAACGACCCTACTTATAAGTAAAGTCACATTCTGTGGTACTAGGGGTTAGGACTTCAACATAGGAATGAGGAGGGTGCAACCACAACAATTTTGTAGTAGGAAAAGCGAGAATTACTCCTATCCCCATTTTACAGATAAAGAAACTAATTCTCAGAGAGATGAAGTAATTTACCCAAAGGGAGTGGAACCACTGTATCACAAATACAAAGCTGCTGTCTAGCTCAGCAACTGAGGACAGCCACATGATGCCTCCTGCTAGGAGTCTCTCTCTCTGTTCTCACACACCTAGACCAGTAAGAATGGAGGCTGCAGAGGTGCGAAGAGCAGAAGTGGTCAAATGCGGTCTCCCTCTGGAAGCAATCTAGCAGATTCCCTATTATTGAGAACTCCGCTTGCTGCCCCTACAGCTGCACCTCATAAAGGCTTGACCTGAAGGAGAACTATTTACTGAAGTTGTTTCTCGTGAGTCTGTTATTGCTCTCCGGTGGGCCCACCCATTAGCCAAAGGGAGTTAGGTACAATGAAACTCTTCAGGGAAGAAAGTAAAGTGCTCCATGCCATCTTTTTCTGTCTATAGCATCATTCTTTGCCTCCCTGTGTCTTTCTTTTGTCCTGCCTATTGAGTAACCTCAGAGTAGGTGTGGGGAGTGTGTGAGTTGCCAGCAATGTGAGAGGGTGGCTGAGGACACCTACCTGATGATGTACACACCAGGGCAGGCAGAAGTGGATGACTTCCCAGGAGTGGCTTTGCTGGCACACCCTCTTTGACCTGTGTCTGCTGCTTTGCTTGAGTCACACTCAACAGCTAAAGCTAATCCCCCTGGGGCATGGGTTCCCCTACGCAGAGAGGAGGGACGCACCCCATCCTTGGGCCTCCTGCCTTGAGAAGCAGTGCAGGAGGTAGCTGAGTACAGATTTAGGAGACAGATTTTAATCTTAGCTCTGCCACTTGCAAACTATATGACTTTAGGGAAGATGCTCAATCTCCCCATGTCACTTCTTCAGCTACAAAATGGAGATGATAAATTTGTTTACTTCATAAGGTTACTGAATGGATAAATGATGTAAGCTATAAATGGTGCTTGGAACAATATATCTACCACATCATTCTAGCAATACTTCCTTACTTGTTCTTTGTTATTTTATTTTCTAAGTATCATTTTGTTATGTTAATTAGAATTGTAATTTTAATTGATTTAATGTACACATCATAAAGTTGACCATGGTTGTGTCCGGATGATGGAGTTACAGGTTGTTTTATTGTCTTATTTTTGATTATTAATACTTTCTAAACTTTCTGCAGTAAAGATATATTACTTTTTAATAAGAAAGTACAAACTCCCTCTGAAGACCTGTGTGGTACAGTGGACTAGGACTAGGTGTGAGAAAGGCATGACCATCCATGTGACAGCATGCATGACCATTGTCCTTAATGGAGTTTAAAGTCTACAGAAAGAGGAAAACCAGATACAGATAAGCAAATGATACAAGAGAGTGAGCAGGAAGGTTAAGAGTTCGCTAAGAATGAGACCAGTTCCTCTGAAGAAGCACTTGGCATTACAGAGAGATAATCATTAGTCTTACACACGCCCTCCCAGTCTTTTTATATGGTCTCTGTCCTAGGAAAAGGAAATTAGCATAACACAGACAAAAGGAACACTCCTTTGGTCTATCTCCAGGCCTCAGGGGACAGGGATAGAATTGCTGAGATTCTTTCTAAGGCACATATTTCTAGGAAGGGACTATGTAGATGAAAAGTTGAGATGCCTTGTGTAGCACATATTATATATGACAGATGTGTACCAGGTAACAAAATATCATGTCAAGTGGAATTAAGAAGTAATTTTCTGTTTCTCTGTTCCTCTTTTCGTAGTATTATTAGCATCATCATTATTCTGGCTGGAGCAATTGTGCTCATCATTGGCTTTGGTATTTCAGGTATGTGATTTCTTGCATTACACAATCCATCCACCCCTTGCCATTCAACCTCTAATAAATCCCTCAGTGTGATAGCATGGAAGAACAAAAAGCTTGGACCCAGAAAACTTCAGAGTAAAGCACTGGTTCTTCTACATTATGTGTCCTCATCACCTTAGACATTTAACTCCTTATACCTCAGTTTCCTCATTTTTAGAATGGAAAAATAATGGTCACTGGACAGTGAGTTGAGAGAATCAAGTGAGAAAGTTGTCAGTAGCCTACCTGCCAGTCAGTGCTGAAGATGTTTTTCTGGGAACATAGGGAAAGTAATGTCTAGGTCATTCTATCAATGGTTGACCTGGATAGATGATTTCCTTTCAATGAACCTTTAGCCAAAGTTTTAAAGAATAACAATATTTTTACATAGGCATTTCAGGTAAAGGGAAAACTGGCCATGACCAGCGTGCCATGTAGGAATCAGATCCTGCTGTGACGTCATTTGTGGGATGTCTTCTCTTTCCTCTTCTGTGCAAGACATTTCTCTGAAACATCTCTTATGAGTTAGGCCAGCAGCTGTCTCCTCTGAGACAAATTGTTTGCTCTGCTTTCTGTAAACCACTTGACTTAGGCCAACATACTTATTTTAACTTGGTCTGTGAAAAATCATGTCACTAAATACTTTTAATTTTTATAATTCTAGCTGCCTTTTCTGTCACTCTCCTCCAGTCTGAATGTGCTGAGATAAACAGTGGTCACAAGGCCTAACCTAAGAAAACTAGCTATATGCGCTGGTCAAGAAAAGACATTAGCATCCTTCTTCATTTTGCCATCAAAAATATACATTTTGTCCATTTTTATTAGCTATCTCTTTTCCCTTTGGATTTATAGGAATTCTTTATAATAGTCATTGAAAATTGCCCAGATGTGATACTAAATCTCTTCCCCATAGTTTGCTTTTTCACTCCTCAATAATATCTTTCAATTAATAAAACTTCTTAATTTTCACTGAATCTGCTAATTTCTTTTATGCGTGGAGCATTTTTAATTTGTAGTCTATTTAAAATGTTTATGTTTATCTTAAAGTCGTGAACATTTCTTCTAAGTTATATTGTAGCGGCTATGTAGTTTTGCTTTCACATATATACTATGAATCATCTAGAATTAATTTTATGGTGTAAGATAGGAGTCAAGGCTCAATTTTTCCATGTGGCTATCCAGTAGACTCAGCACCATTATACTGTCCTTCACCCACTCTTCAGCAGCACCACAATCATCCTAACTCAAATATCTGTACACGTGTGGATCCATTTCTGACCTTGCTAATCAGATTCATTCTAGCATGCATGCCCCTTCATTTACAGTGAAATATCTCCCAATGAACCCATTGCATGTTGAAAATATTTTAAGTTGGAAATGTATTTACTATACCAAACCTATCAAGCAACATAGATCAGCAGCAGAGTACCTGTAGCAACACAGTAGATAGCAGTGTGTGAGCTATTTACCCTTGTGTTCCTTTGGCTAACTGGGAGGCGCACTCGCTGTGGTACCCCATCATCATGACAGAGTTTCGTAACACACATCACTAGTCCAGAAAAAGGATTAAATTTCCAAAGTCAGAGTCTAGTGTTGCTTTTGCACTATCATAAATCATCCCTGCAAACTGAAGAGAGTCTGTATTCCTTTATAATTTATTTTCTTTTCATGTATGTTATTTTATCTTTTTTGCTATTCCTAATTCTCTCTCCCTACTCCCTCTTCAGTTTCTCTTCCTTCTCTCTCTGCCTCTTTAAAACAGGCTTATAAAGTTACAGGTATTATTAGCTTTACAAGTTTCAGAGAATCAGCTTTTTGTTTATTTATACTGTCTCTAATGTGTTTTCCTAATTTATTGATTTTGACTTTTTATCTTTGTTAATGTTCTCCCCACTTTATTTGGCTACTTTTTTCTAATATATTTAAATAAGCACTTCACAGGAAAACATGTCCCAAAAAGCCAATAGACAGGTTTCAGTAAATACTGCCATTCAGTTTTCCAAACTCATTTATCAATATACACTTCACTGGAAGCCTAGAAGAGATCCAGTGCTTATGTCCTCTCCTATACTGGATATTGAGGAATCTTGCGGTTTTAATCTCTGTTTCCTGAGGCTGAGGAGACTGAGTACATTTTTATATGAGAAACATAATGCTGAACGACAGACAACACAAAAGACTGTTCTGTATGAGTCCATGAATATAAAGTTCACGAACAGGAAAATGACCCTCTGCTGTTAGAAAGTAGTGTAATGGTTGTTATTTTCAGAGAAGAGTGAGAGGTAGCGGTGAGGAGGGAATATAAAGGAAATGCTAAGAGGATTGTAAAGTTTTTATTTCTTGGTGTGGTGAGAGGAAGTTATTACAGTTCTTCAAGCTGTATAGTTATTATTTGTAGACTTTTATATATGTGTGTTATACCTAAGTACAGAAATATATATATAAACATTTATGAATATTTTTATAAGGAAACAAAATATTGACTGTAAAATAAAGATTTTGGAGTAACTTTCATAGGTATTAGTGCTAAGGTACAATTTAGTAACTTCCTAAGACTTCAGTCTTCCTTAATTATCATTGACCCTATTCCTGATCTTACACATCACCTTGAATTAAAACCTTAGAGTTTGTGCTTCAGTTTTTATCTTGGTGACTAAACATACTTGGGCCTAGCTGACTGGCTTAGTATCGAAACGCTCATAGAGTTGTTTATCTTCTGGTTGCTATTGGCTCTGACTGCTCCAAGAATTTCACATTGTAACTGCTTTCCTAAGTCAGTCAACACTTCTGCTACTTACACCTTTTCTGTTGTATATTTGTATTGTGCTCAAATACACCTAGGATTTATATCATGCTCAAGTACAGATACCAACCTCAAGTACTGAGCTCAGTTTGTTTTTTTTTTTTTTTTTTTTTTTTGGTCTATTATATTGAGACAGGGTCTCACTACACAGTTCAGGCTGGCCTTGAGCTCACTTTGCAGCCCAGGCTGGCCTCGAACTCACAAAGATCCTCCTGCCTCAGCCTCGCAAGTGCTGGGATTATAGGCATGCACCACCACACCTGTCACTGAGCTCAGTTTTTTTTAATACAGGGAACCCTACTCATTAAAGGCTATTTGAATAAATAAATGCATAAATGCATACAGGATAAATAAATAGATAAAAGTCACTTCTCAACCTAGTAATGTACAACAATAATATTAAAATCCCATTACTACCAATGAAAAGGTTTCCTGCCTCCTTCATATTTCATGGGGAGAAAGCTGGTTAGTTTGGATAAAATGGGCTATGTATTTGCTTAATATTTAGTTGGGTTATTTCAATTGCCTATATTAAGGCCATAACCTTTATGAGAGAGCATCATATTATCATACTTTAAATGAATTCACTAAAGTATTAGCTGGCTTAATATATAACACATTGAAATTAGGCAAATAGCATTAAGTAGATGATGATATCTTTGCATGCTTCTCACCTTATTAAGTAACTGTATATATTATGTGACTTACTGTTCACAAGTAGGAAGTAGATACTACCACCATGCCGAAAAATCAGCTCCTGTAGAGTCATATGCAGCTAGCAAGTGGGCACCACTGTGTTCAAGGGCTGTTGATTTGTTTCCAGAATGCACACTCCTGCCTACCACCCTATCCCAGTGATAATGCTCACACAGACTTGTAGCAGAGAAAAGGGCCATGAGGGAACTGCCTGCCTTCCAGGTATTACTCTTAGTTTGCCTTGCAGGCATTTATTCTTGAGAGCACAGGTTTTAAAGACTTGCAAATATTCACAAATACAAGGGGAAAAATCTATACCTTTGCGATTCGATTTCTGCCTTCTCATAGCCATCCTACTCTATAAATTCTAACTACAGGCCCCATAAAACGTTAAATGTATTTGAGGTGGATTGCTGTTAAAAGAGGTTGAGGGGCTCCCATTCACCCCTGGTTAAAGAACAGCCTTTGTGGACCACCCTTCAGCAGGGATGGAGATACAGTAGAAAAACAGGCCCTTGACCATAATTAGCCCAGTTACTGTGCTATCACTCACATATGGGGGCCTGAACATTGCAGACAATGAGTTTAAGCATTAGAGATACACCAGTCTCAGGAATGACAACTTTATGTCCTTTGGAAGATAACTTTCCTTCCTGGTACAGTCTTAGTGCCAGGTGGGGCTGGGTTTGATCTACTGCCTGTATTAGTCAAGCCATGTAACCTTACAGAGCTTTTTTCTTCCTCATGCGTAAAGTGGGTGTAATGGTCACTCTCACTACCTCTTCTGACTGAAAATGAGTCACTGCACATAAAGCATTTAAAACAAGGCTCTTTTCCTTACTTCCCAGAGCTGATCTGCTGTTTTTCCAAATGATTGTAGTTAATAATGGTTGTTGATATCATTGATTTAAGGTTTAACATGGGAGTCAACCAATGCAGATAAGCATGTTATTTTCATTGTATCATTTAGTCATTTCAGAAAGCGTGTGAGTGAGTGTCTTCATTGTATAGGTGAAAAATAAAGAGTTTTATAAAGCTGCCCAAGGTCACATATCCAATAAGTGACAAAGCTGGGATTTCCACCCAATCAGCCTGATACCCATGACATGTTCTCAAACGCCACACTCTACTACTTCCTGGAGTTGTTCCCAGCATCCTTCCTAATTTCTTCTCACATAAGCAACTACACTCCAAAGCCCCACCTTCTTCTTTGGCGGAGTGACACTCACAGATGCCACTCCAGTTTCCAGCCTTGTTTCTGCCTTTAATCAGTGTTCTGCCGTGCCTGTCCAGATAGCCAGGTTTCAGCAGATTCTGAGTGACCATCTGTCTATTGAAGGCTTGTAGTATGTTTTTTAGGCTATTGTAAGATATAGAACTTGTCTTTCTGAGTTGTGTCAAAGGACTGTTCATTTCCCAGGTTTTATCCAGTGCTATGGGATGCCTTGTAATTTTTGTAAAAAAAAAAAAAAAAAAAAAAAAAAAAAGCCTTGCCTTGTGTTACCAATGCTCCCACTCTCCAGGATATACCTGTTCCTACAATGAAGGACCAACTGAATAGTAATCACATGTAAAAACCAAAATGCTCAGATTTCAGCTTGCTCCCTCTGATGCCCTCCTCCTTTCTTCACTCGAACCAGAACTGTGGTAGTAATTACCTTTCACGTGTGGTATAATACATTTTCAATAACTGGGTTTTTCAATTTTAAAGGGGCTAGATGCAGTCTTAGAGGCTAATGAAATGCTTTAAGTTTGTGACTATTTAACAGAATTTTACATCAGTAGGTCACATCCCCTCACACAAGAGCCTCTGGTGTCAATAGGCCTGAAAGTTCGTATCAGACTAGTCTGCATAACACTCCTTATGCCAATACTGTGTCTGCTTGCAAATTTAAATACAAATTTGTTTGATTTTTCTTTTACACAGTAGTAGGTATTGAACCTAGGGAACTGGGGTACATTGGAGCCCTTTTTATTTTTTATTTTGAGACAGGGTCTTGTTAAGATGCCCAGTCTGGCCTCAAACTTGTGGTCCTCCTTCGTCAGCCTCCTGAGTAGCTGGAATTACAGGTGGGCACCACCACACTTGACTTAAGACTCCTCCTCATGAGAATATGTACATGCTGTTGCTTGCAATTTGAATATTATTTTACCACTTTTTATAATCATTCACTCATTTAATAAACAAGTATTTATTGACTTTTTTGGGGGTGCAAAGCAACAGCTAAGTCCTCATCACTTTTTAAAGTTTTCACTGGTTTTATCCCTCTTTTTCTTTTGATATGGAGGAGAGATTTAATCGACACTGTACTCATTCCATCTGCCATATCATTAATGCAGTCTTAAATGACTAGAACCTTCAGTGTGTCCCTGGGGCACTTCACAGCTGCCTATTCTTAATAATTACGTCCTCTCAGAGATTCTTCCATGGATTCCTCACCAGCGGGCTCAAGGCCAACATATTAAAATTAATTCAGTAATGCAATTACAAAATGAAGATGTGTCATTATCATTTAACTTTCTCCATAAACTGAACAATCATGTATTTTTTCAGAAAAGTAATTTTTCAATTCAATTTCAATAGTACTTTATAGCCACAATCAAATTTACCCTTGCTCTAACATAGTTACATTTGCTCCACAAATTTAGGAATGATTGTGTATTTTTATTGCCTTTTTTCCCAGTGGCTCACATTTCCCCAAAATTTAGATGTAGTGATCCTGCCAAATGTTCCCTGCTCTCGCAATACATACATTATTTCAAAGAGTACTTTGATTTTTACATATTCCCATTTATTCACTCATTTATTCACACCCTCAGCAAGTATTTCTCTCTGTAGAAACATAGCACTAGGCACTATAGGACCTATAGATATGATTGATATAGTTTCTGCCCTTGAAAGAACTCGCAAATCACTGTAAGAGATAGATGAGAAACAAGGTAGATGAAGACAGCTGCTGTAATAAAGGCAAAAGAAAGTGTAAACAGAGAGTATGAAGAAGATCTACAAATTTTGTATTGACAGACTAAAGAAGATTTGGGGAGGGGCTGTGCTCTGGGCAGAAGTGAATATAAGCAGCATGTGGATGAGGGGTGATAAAGGACAAGGGGGACTTTGACTTGGAGGTGGCGAGATGAGCAGGACTATAAAGGTGCATAGTGTGAGTGTGGAGCCCATGCCAGTCCAGGCTGCCTTGGATACAAGTCTGACAAGTAAAAAGATTGAAAAGCAAACTTAATCATTATAGTAGTAGCCAAGAAAATTTCAAGGCAAGAGGTGGAGTATATAATATTCATATTACACAGCAAAAATTGTATATTGTCCTCTTTCATAATTTATCCCTCAAGTCTCCCACATGAATGGTTAAGCATGACAGCTGCTTCCAAAATCTCTTTTCTCCCACACTAAGCCTCTCTGTACATCCTCACAACCCCATCTGTGTACCGGGTTGTTATCACTGGCATTTTTTTCTAGTTAAAATTTTTTTCTATCCGTAGGTCTTTGTTCTTTCTTATGCAACTCTATCTAACTTAGATTCTCCAGTTATATCTCTCATTCATTACCCTCACCTGCTCTTTATGCTATGAGGTGTTTGTTTAAAGGACAGGCAGAGACTGGAACATGAACTGGACCTGAACACTGTCGGGGTCCTAGACAGCTTTCAGGATGGTGGCCTCGCTCCATTTTCTCTCCATGATCTCTTTACCATACTTGTTTGTGTTTGCCCCCTCTCCTCTTGGGCCCCAAAGCCACCCTCTCCTTACCTTCACATCCAAGCACAGGAACCTTTCGAGAAGATTCCGTTAGGTGCCTCATTTCCCTGAGCACCCACATCCTGCTCTTGAGGGTGTCCTGTATCCATCTCTAGTAAATCCTTTTCATGTCTCTTAAAAAACAGAAGATCAGCTAATGAAATCATGCCTGTACATGTCCTCACTCAACAGCCTTCAATATTCAAAGAACAGCTAGTTGATCCTTCTCTGACGGGGCAGGATATAGGCAAGCAGTGGGGTAAGGCACAATGGGACCAAGGTTAATACTTGTACTGGTGGTATATTCAGGGAGGAGGGGATGGTTTTTACCATGAGCCAAAAATCAACTGAATTAAATACATTCTTCCTTATGCTACAGCTAACTCTATAACTTTAACCAAGTCCTTATCTTCTCTATGCCTTAGTTTCTTCATCATTCAGAGATATAGTGAAGTATCAGCACTTTAGAATTGAATGTTCATCCAAATTACAAACCAAATTCAGTTAACATAGTATTTTGCTTTGAGCCACAGCATAACAATATCTTATAACGTGCAACTGCAGCTTGCAAATCAAGTTCATATCCATTAGATTTGATCCTCACAGGAACCCCATAAGCTAGGTAATATAGTTAAAGTTATCTCTCTTTCTCTGAGATTCAGAGTAGTTACATGACTTAAAGTCACACAGCATTAAGTAACAAAGCCTAGGCTTGAATTCTCATCCTCATGCCCAAGTCCCATGTATTTTTCTTTTGCTGCTTCTCAACTTTTGGGTTGATTGTTCTTTTAAAAGCTATTGTGTATGGCAGATCTGAGATATATCTATCTATATCTATATCTATGTCTATATTTATATCATCTATATCTATATCTATACGTTTTCCTGCTCTTCCTACTCCCAACTTCCTTTTTAGATGTTTTTCCTGTTCTGTATTTTAAGTGTACAGAAATCTGTTTGGCTTTTAGTAATAGAGTTTAGTTGTTGAAAGTTCCAGGGTTTCCCTTGGCATTGATCCTTGCTTCCTAAATTGCAGGAAAACACTCTATCACAGTCACTACTTTTACCTCAGCTGGGAACATCGGAGAGGATGGAATTCTGAGCTGCACTTTTGAACCTGATATCAAGCTTAATGATATCGTGATTCAGTGGCAGAAAGAAGGTGTTACAGGTTTGGTCCATGAGTTCAAAGAGGGCAAAGATGACCTGTCAGACCAGCATGCAATGTTCAGAGGCCGGACAGCAGTGTTTGCTGACCAAGTGATAGTTGGCAATGCTTCTCTGAAACTGAAAAGTGTGCAACTCACAGATGCTGGCACCTACCAATGTTACATCATCACTTCTAAAGGGAAAGGAAATGCTAACCTTGAGTATAAAACTGGAGGTGAGTTACTTCTGGAGGGAGGGAAGGAAAGTACCAAATGATATTTGAGGATAAAAAGCATGACTTGCTGATAAAATATGTGCTCATCAATGACTAATGTCAAAGGAAAACCCTTCCAGTTCTGTTAGTAGCCATCTTGCTATTATGCTCAAAACCCACACCAGCCTCCAAAGTACTCTACTATACTATTAGGATTTAAAGTCTTTTGTTCTGGGTTCTCAGTACTTCTAAACTTCCAGATGTGTTCCCTAAAATATTTTACCAAAATAAATGTAGTCTCTTTATGGTAGCCCTTGCTGTCGCTAGTAAATGAAATCTATTGGCCTTGGTTGTTTCCATGCTGGTTAGGTCTGAGCCCACATCTGAAACGAGCACCTTGAAAATTCATAATGGTAGAGCCCATTTTAGGAAAAGTTCAAAGGGAACTAACCCAAATGATATTGTCCTATAAACTCAATATTACCCTCCCAGTGAAATCCACCCTTCCTTGCTAACCTAATTTGTTTCCTGAATTTATGTGTAAAGAATTTATGTATAAGATTGACATACTGGGTGATATCAAAAGATAAGAAAACAAAGATTTTTTTCTTTTTGCAGAGCTCCTAGAGTAGATTTGAAAATTCTGGCAGCGATAACAATTGATGAAGTATATCAAATGCTTTAAGAGAAATATAAATAGAATGACTTGGATTCAGAAGAAGAGAGATATTACATCTAACTGCACATGAGATAAGGAAGTGGAAAACCTCCATGGATAAGTTGGCATGGAGAGGAGCTCAGAAAGATAGGCAGAGAGTATCCTGAACTTGCTAACCTGAGCTAGTCTGTACAGGCCTTTCATGAACACCTCCCAGCATGTACCTGTAATGATTCAAAGCATAGCTCTGGAGTCAGACCAGGACAAGCACATTGGGCTAGGCAAAACAGCCTCTCTGAACCTCAATTTCTTCATTTTAAGATGAAGACTACTATGGTCATGTCAAAGCGACACTACCAAGTTCAATTTAAAGACTTCCAGTGGCAAAGCTGGAATGATTAAAGCAACAAAATAATAAAATATTAAATTACAACTCAAAGTATAAAATGAATTCATGAGTCCATACTCATGTGAATAAATGAGGGGAAAGAAATAATTCTTCTTTGCAGGTAAATTTCAAATAATTTATATAGCTCTCTCACTCTCTAGGCAATTGAGCTTAAGACTCTTCCCACCCTACCCAACATATTTTGGAATAGTGGAGTGCATCTTCCAAAGAATCTGGCAAACAACCAGTCATGTTGATGGCATGTACCTTCTACTGTGGTCTGATGGGAAGGAAACTTTACCTTGTACAATCTTCTTCTCCAAAAGTTCAGCCTAAGCATAACAGAAGTATCAAATTCCAGTAGAAGGATATCCTACAAAATACCTGACCAGTACTACCAAAACTATCCAGGCCATAAAAACATGGAGAGTGAAAAGCTGTCACAAGCCAGAAGACTCTAAGGATACATAATGATTCAAAGCACTGAGACATAGTGACTAAAGCCATAGGATCCTGAAACACACGTTAGTGGAAAAAGTGGTAAAATACAATCAAATCCAGAGTTGAGTTAATAGCAACATACTAGTGACTGTTTCTCTATTTTTACAAATGTACAGTGGTTAAGATGTTAATGTAGGACTGGGAATATAGCTCAGTGGTACAAGTGCCTGCCTGGCAAGTGCAAGGTTCTGAATTTGAGTCCCAGTACCAAAAAAAAAGAGTAAGTCATACTTAGGAAGATGTTAATATAAGGAGGAACTAGGTAGTAATATACAGAAACTCACTCTTCACTATCTTTGTAGATTTTATGTAAACTTAAAATTATTTCAAAAGTTTATTTTTATATATAAATAATGGGTATTTACAGGATTACTGTGAGGATCAAATGAAAGAGTGCTGAAATACTGTACCGGCATGAAGTACATGCTCAGTAAGTGCTGGCCCATGGTCATCTCCCAGGGGGCTTGTTCCCTGCCCACTTTGGGCATGTGGGTCTTGTCTCCCCTACTACTTCATAAAGGCAGTAAGGCAAGGTAAAGTCTTTCCTTCCACGCTCAGCACTAGTTGAATCTTTGGCAAAGGAAGATATTAAGTAAAGTAAATGCATCTTGGAATTTTGGCATAATGAGAGTCCTGGCCCTAACATTTTTCTACAGGTATATCTTTGCTTAGAAATAGGGGAAAACAAGACTTAATTTCAAAATTTCCTTCTCAGTGAGGAGAATTCTTTTAGAAGACAACAAAAGCCTATTTCTGTCCTTGGACGCAGAGCTCCACAGTCCTTACCCCAGCAAATTCCAAGTCCCCATGATGATGAAGCCTGAATGTGGGATTTCTGTGGGGGACAGGTGGAGGCTGCTCATTTCTCCCTTATTCCTCTTCCTCATCACCTTAACTTTATCCTCAAGGCAAGAATTGCACAAAACCCGTGAAACTTCACAAATCCTAGGAACATGCCAATTTTTCTAGGGAATAAGCTTTTTATAATCAAGGGAGCATCTCTTACTTAGAGAAAATTATCTGTTGTAACAACAATATGCCCAGAATGTAGGTCCTTGAGGTTTGTGATATTGGTCATAGAGTTGGATATACAGCAGTACTATGAGCAAACTACATCTACAGTGCAGCGGGCCATACACAGACAATACCTGCGGAAACAGTCACTTCGATGATGGAAATGCCTGTTTGTGTTTTTAAGACCTAGTACTTCAAGGCTATATTGTCCTTCCTGTCTGACATTCTGTTTGTCTTTTTTGATCTTTGATCCTGCAGCCTTCAGTATGCCCGTGGTGAATGTTGACAATAACGCGAGTTCAGAGAGCTTGCGTTGTGAGGCTCCTCGATGGTTCCCCCAGCCCACAGTGGTCTGGTCATCCCAAGTTGACCAGGGAGCTAACTTTTCACAAGCCTCCAACACCAGCTTTGAGCTGAACTCTGAGAATGTGACCATGAAGGTTGTGTCCACGCTCTACAATGTCACAGTCAACAACACTTACTCCTGTATGATTGAAAACAGCATTGCCAAAGCCACAGGGGATATTAAAGTGACAGGTGGGTTGCTCAGTGCTGTCCCTCCCCAGCCCCTCCCCAGGGATGTTGAGTATGGAACTTAGGGCCCCGTGTATATGCTAGACAAATATTCTACCACTCAGCTGTACCCTCATCCCTCTACATGCTCTTTTGTGTGGGTTTCTTGGGGAGAAAATAATATCTATACTAAATCTAAATTAGTTAACATATATATTATATACTAAGGGATAAAAATCTTTAGAGTCTTCTTCAGTGAAACTTTGATCACAATTCCAGCTGAGATTGCATTATGTAATAGAAAGCCTAACACAACACAACATAGCATATAGGTTAAAGATGGCAATTAGGCCTCACCTTGAATGCCTTCTCATCAACAGGTTTTCTGGAGAGTAATGTTCAGGATTCTGAGGCTCTGTCTAAGTCTGTGAGACTAATTTTGTGTAGTAGTAAGAATGTGATGATTATTTAACATCTTTGACATATTTGGCTGATATACTGCATCCTAAGTCCCCCAAGACTGGTTTGATTCTACCCAGTCTTTGAAATGGAGAAGGTTTTGAATCTGAGGGCTGAAGGTCTGTACTGGGACTTGATCTTATTTAGACCTGAGACTGACTTATGCTCTGTTAATATTGGCCCAGGATTAATCTTAGAGCCCTAGACTGAACTGATCTCCTAGCACCCTCACCAAGAGCTAATCCTAACTCCCTGCAGTATTTCAGTGCATGCAAAATCTAAGGTTGAGTTAGTGTCTAGAAAATGAATTGCTATCTATATCAAGGCTATAACTAGGCAGGAAATGTCTTGCACATTGTAAATACCATAATATGCAGGTAATTTGAAAGATAGGTTTCCAAATATGATATACAAATGGCCAAAGAGCACATGGAATGATGCTTAACACCAGATAAATGCAAAGTACAATCATGATAATGTATCACCTCACACCCATTAAGACGGCTACTATTTTTTGTAAAAGCCCCAGAAAATAACAAATATTGATGAGGATGCAGAGAGATTGGAACTCTCATGCATTGTTAACAGGATTGTAGAATGGCACAACTACTATAAAAACAGAATGGAGGGTCCTCAGAAAATTAAAAGCAGAACTATTACTGGATCTGGCAATCCTACTTCTGAGTATATAAAAGAATTCAAGAAGGGTCTCAAAGTGATAGTCATACACCCATCTTCATAATAGCACTATTCAAAATAACCAAAAGATAGAAGTAACTCAAAATGTCCATTTATAAATAAACAAACAAAATATGGTTCATACATACAATGGAATAGTATTCAATCTTAGGAAGAAATCCTACCACAAGCTATGACATGGATGAACTTCTGAGACATTATGCTAAATTAAATAGTCCCCATCCAAACAGATTTATATTGTATAATTCTACTTATGAGGTGGGGAGGAAGGATGTTGATGTTTATGAACATAAAGTTTTAGATCTGCAAGATGAAAAAGCTCTGATGATATGTTTTACAATGATGTGAATGTACTTAATACTACTGAACTATGTATTTTTAAATGGTTAAGATGGTAAATGTGATGTTATATTTTTACTACAATTTTTAACTATCTAAGAAAAAAACATGTATGTATATAAGAGCTATTGAGGAACAAATTGGTGGCTGCCTTGGTTGGGACTCTCTTAGTCACGAGTAATAGAGAATTAACTCAAACTTGCCCAAGGTAAAAAAAGCATTTATTCCAAAGTGCTGAGCTGTTTCATGGAACCAAAGGTAGAAGTAGCACTGACTTCAGCAACAGCCAGAACCAAGAATTTAAATTACACTGGGATTCTCTGTCTTTTCTATTTTATTCTCTTTTTACTCTCTTGCTTAATTCTGGGTGGCAAAATTTAGTTGCCAAAAACTCCTGTATTTAAAAACCTTTTTACATTAGGAGAGTAACCAGGGCTGGAAAAACCTTTGAATCTCAGTGGTTGGTGCTCAAAAATATTTACTGAACAACTATGTTTTTAACTTATATATAGTAGCAATTGTAAACCTAAATGTAGAACTCAAGATGGAGTTCAAGCTAAAGAAGCAGATTTGTAAATGATGAGCATGGACATAACGCTTATTAGGCTTAAGTGGGGTTACTTTATGACTGTGCTTATAGCTGGTACTAACTGAGTTCTTACTATGTGCCACGCAAATAAGTACTTTCTACATATCCACTCATTCATCCTCATCAGAACCCTACGCAGCATGTTATTATTTTAGCCCCATTCTAAAAGGAAGAAGTTGGAGCAAATATGTATAGAGTAACTTGCCTAAAGTCACACAGCTAGTAAGTGACAGACCCGAAATAAACTAGTGAAATTCGATTGGCTAGCAAGAATACAGAGTAATTTTATCTACTTTTATTCTACTTTTCTCCTCTTCAAAATGAAAACAATAATTCCTTATCTCCTTATAGAAGTGTGATGAAAGCTAATGACTCTGAACCTGTAGAGGACACTGCCTGAAGGCAAAATATCCCCCAAACCACGGACTGGCCATGGCTGTTGGGTTGGCCTATTCTTTATGTGGTACCGGATAACAATTTCTTTATTGAAATAGCTTTTCGTTTGGCTGAGTGGACCACAGAATAGAACTTCCTGTAAAGAAAGGGAAAGCTTTGCTTTTAAACCAGTTACAGCAAGCTGAATAAAGTGGTGCAGAATAACTTGTGTCAGGAACAACTTGCTGTTTCTCAAGAACTTTTCTTTGCTAACAAGTCATGTGATTAAGGCATCCAACTTCTTCTATATGACCCTAAACATTTTTCTTTCTCTTTGAGGATTCTGAAATCAAAAGGCGGAGTCACCTAGAGTTACTGGATTCAAAGGCTTCCCTGTGTGTCTCTTCTTTCTTTGTCATTAGCTGGATACTCCTGCCTCTCTTCCCTTACTTGATGCTAAAATAATGTGCTTTGACCACTCCAAAACATGTCAAGTTACCGCCATAACAGGTGAGATAAATCATAAATGGCATGGGAGATCGGTTGTGTGTATGCTTGTGTTCCTAAAAAGAGTCAAGTAGCCTTCAGAATCAGCCACTAAAAAATACATTTAATGATGCCTGGGAAGTAATTATATTTCTAGTAGTATTGTTCAAGGTAATCATTTGTTAGCTTAACAGAAAATAGAGACCTATTAATGAATTTATAGGAAAATCAACTTCTTAGTTACTTTTCTCATTGTTGGAAAAAAAATACTGGACACCCAAAGGGGGAAAATGTTTATTAGCTCACAGTTTGTAGAAGTTTCAGTCCATAATCAGCAAGCTCCAAGGCAGTGTGGCACGGCAGACAGGCATTGTAGAGGGGAAAAAGTTCATGTCTGGCAGAAGGTAGCAAAGCAATAGGGACCTTAACAGTGTCTTTCTGCCCCTTTTATTTTATCCAGGATACTTAGGGCATTCACACCCTTAATCCTAATGCCCTTGATCCTAGTACTGCACCAGGAATCAATCCCAGTATCACACATTCTAGACCCAGCCATCTCTGAAAAAGCCCCATCTATGATCACGTGAGGCTTTGTGGGACATCTAGATACAAGCTATAACATCAACTCCATACAATTCAATTATTTGTATAAATTCAAGCACTTTTTCATTTATTGAGTCATTAATGAAGACAAATACATCTTATTGAAAAGAGAGGTTTAGCTCTAATTACCCTAGATTTCACTGTCATTCACAAAGTATAATGACATGCACAATGACATGCACATTATCACTTATATAAGTGCCCTCTGAGTAGCCCCAGTTGACAGGAGAGTTCCTACTATGACTGGATAATGATTCATCAGCTGTCCCTCCTGCCAAGACTTCTCATTTGAACTTCAGTTCTCTGGCTCTAATTATTAGGACATTTCCTTCTAAATAGTCTACTGCATATGAAATTTGTATAAAACTGAATTTATGAGGTCAGAGTCAACACTTCTGCATTACTCAGTGACATTCCCACCAAGCCTTCAGGCTCACAATCCTGCAGCTATTTTTGTCTGCTCTCTGTCCTTTCATGTCAGTTTGTTACCAACCCCTACAGCATTTTCCTGTGTGGTCTCTCAGATTGACCCTAATCCACCCTTCACCACCTCACACCCTGACTGATGCTAAAACCATGTACTTAGTCTTTCTTCTCCAAGTTTCAGATGACAGGAAACAAGGTACCAGAATGAAAGTATTGAAGCACCATTTCATCACAGCACTTCTTTCCTTCAGAACCTAGAATGAGTCTCTGAGAGCTACTGTATCAGTTAACGTCCTCAGCTGGAGTCATAGCCCTCTGACACTTTCTCTTTCTGAGCTTGCTCCTTCTCCCAGTACCTATCACTACTCTATGCCTTGCTCTCTTGTTCACTGCCCCTTCTTGGAAATCTGCTCTATTCTATGGCAATTCATATGCATTCTTTCCTTTATCCATTTCAAGGAAGCTCCTCCTAATCTGAGTTCCCTTTCCTGAAGTTTTTTGTGTTCTATATCCCCTTAGCATGTATGTGTAATTTATATCTTACACTATGAGGCACATATCTTTCTTGCCTAAATTGTTAAGACCTCAAGCAGTCAAAGATCTGCCCATCTGCTTCTTTTTATCCTTTCTTTTGTTCTCCAAGCTCTTATTATAGTATAATGCACAAAGCAGTTGATTTGTCAGAAACCCACGAGTCCCCTCTTTTGTAATCTCCCATGGCTGTCAGCAGAGGGCGATTTTCCTAAGGAAACTGTCCCTTGGGAGTCTCACTAGTGGAAGAGGAAACACATTCTTCTTTCCTTGATTTTCTACAACACTGTAACTGATTTAATAACCTAGAGCTAGATAATATGATCTATAAAGTATAGCTTGTTCCTCTGTACCATGTATTCCCCAATGACAATTATTTGCAGCCTTTTTAAAAACCAGCTGGGGATGTAGCTCAGTGGCACAAGTGCCTGCCTGGCAAGTGCAAGGTCCTGAATTCAATTCCCAGTAACAAAACAACAACAACAACAACAAAAAACCATGACACAGAAGGGATGGGAGGGGATTGGAAAGAAAAAAGGAGGAAACAGGATACATCATGTAGAGATACAAATTCCCTATGATGAAAGTGGTCATTGTGTATATCTAAATTGTACCAGTAAATATAATAAAAAAAATTTTAAAAATCATGACACACATGTAAAGGATGACAGTCTCACACACTAGGGTTACACGCTGCTGACAAGTCAGCTGAACTTACTCTTTCCTCTCCAGGTTTCAAGTGGCAGGAAACAAGGCACCAGAATTAAAGGATTAAAACATTGTTTTATCATAGAATTTCTTTGCTTCCGAAGCCAGAATGACTCTCTGAGTGCTACTGTATCAACTAAAGTCCTCAGCTCTAACTCTTCCTCCCCAAAACCGTAGAGGAATAACCTTAAATCAAATACATTTTTTAAAGTAAAGGGACAGATCAGTACTTGAGACTCACATTATAACTGGTCATGATATTTTAGGTCACACTCACTCCCTGGTAGGGAATGGAGGTGGAGCCCACGTTTCTACCTCCACCCAAGATCCTGCCCTATTTCCTCTCTCATTCCCTGTTTGCTCTAAGGATCTGTCTCTTCCCAGACCCTGTCACTGGGATAATCCCCCATCAGGACGAAATTCAACACATCACTTTTCTCACAGCAACCCCCAGAATCATGTACCATGATACAGCAACATCAAAATACAGAAGAAAATAAGCCCATTTATAAACAAGAGATATACAGAGGGGCTGGGGATTTAGCTCAGCGGCAAAGCGCCTGCCTGGCAAGTGCAAGGTCGTGAGTTCGGTTCCCGGTACCAGAGAAAAAGCAAAAAAAAAAAAAAAAAGAAAAGAGATATACAGTGTGGCAGGAAGACTCAGTTCTCAGTAAATGTTTGTTGAATGTCTGTTATAGTATCTTATAATTACTATTTTCAGAATCCCCAGACTCTTCAGAAATATTTTCCCTCAAGATATGACCTCCTTTTATATTTCTGAGGGGAAATGAATTCATATGTAGAAGTCTGGAGTGAACAAACAAGAAAAAGAAGAAAAAAGAAACCCTTAGAAGACTCCAATATGAACAAAATACATCTACCTTCAAAGACATATGTTAAAAGTTGGGAAAATCATTTGCCTGAACTAGAGAAATGTATTAAGACTGCATGTGAAGATAAGTATTCCCATATCCTGGGGTCCCTCCTTACCCATCAATTCCTGAGGAGTGAGAGAACGCGATATGGTATCTCCGAATGCTTAGTTGTATGTGCTATAATCTTGCTCTAAAGTTCTTGGAAAGTTTCAATTACCACATGTTCATTTCTTATAGTCTGCAAATTAAACTGTAATGTATGTTTTAAGAGGCTGCTAATCAGCTATCAGTTAACAACTCAGTGGCTGCATTTTAGTGAAGATTCAAATGATTCGCTTTTCATTATGATACTTTGAATAGTTGTATTCAGTAGAATACAATCATAAGTTTAGGCTGAACCAAGTAGTTAGGTGACACTGATTTTCTAAATAATATGAACACCTTTTTTGAACAAAGAAATACCATTTTATTTCTCAGGTTATGTTGATCTGTGAATGGCACAGGGTCGGCCCTCTTACCTTACTATGTTGTGATATGTCATAGGCTCCTATTTTCTGTCTTGCAAGAACAGTTATGACCTCAGCTTTCAACATGGTGAACCCATGGGCATGCTGCAGCAGGCTGTTTGCATCACTGAACGCTCAAAGTGGTTCATCATCACTGATCTAGAGCATTAGCATTCAGCTGGAGTGATTGTATTTCCCCTTGAATCTCCCAGGAGACATTTGTCAATAGCTGAAGACATTTTTAGTTGTCAACTCATGAAAGACAGAGGACTGTGTTAGTGGCACCTAGTAGATAGAGCTCAGGGACGCTGCTCATCATCTTACAATGTGCGAGACATTGGCCCACAACAAAGAATCATGTAGCCCCAAATGTCAATCATGCCAAAGTTAAGAAACTCTTAGAGTAGAAAAGAAGAGAACAAACAAATCTGCTTGCTTCCTGAAAACTGGGCATTGGCTTCCCTCTCTTTGGCTGTTGCCTCAGCACAGAGAGCCAGATCTCTGTGAGGGGACCAGGATAACATCTTTCACTGAACAGAGTCTACAGGATGTGGGAAGTCCTCGACGGGATCATCTTCAGCTCACTGAGCTTCCAAGTTCTTTTCCCTTCATTCTACCCTGCAAAGTAAGTACCACAAGAAAGCTAAGTCCTGTCTCAACCTCTCTCACTTTGAATTTTAGATCTCAGAAAACTGCCTGGGCAAAATATAAATTAAGGCAATAGATATGTTCCTTCCTTGAAACATACAGAGCCTGCTGAGGTTTTACTCAGGGTGCTGCGTATCAAACCCAGGGCCTTGCAAATGTTAGGCAAGCATTCTACCACTGAGATACACCCAGCCCACAAAGATAATTCTGAAAGAAATCAGGAGAATGACCCTTGGAAATAAAGCCTTGAGGAACAAAGCTTTGATGGAAAACAGTGTGTTGTTTCTAGCACACTTCCCACACTTTTCATGTTACCACTGCCCCTCTGGCACTCTGGACTGTATTATATTTTGTTATAGAAAACTTCATTTTAGGGTTCTGTTCGTTTAAGAGAATGATTAAATATACATTTCCTATGCTGCTTTCTGCCTCATTTATCAAACAGAGAAAAAAGGAAGATAGATTGAAAATTCATAGAAGATGCTCTAAAGATTAGTACCAAGCACCTTCACAGATATTTTTAAATGAATTGGAGATAATGATGGGAGACTGTGAATACAGGCTGAATGTCTCAGTATAGTTTCTTAAGGAAATTCCACTGTGCTTATACTAACCTAGCATGTTTCTATCTGATAAAATAGTAGTGGCACATAGATAGATATACATGATAAAAATATGTATATATATATATATATATGACACAATAAATCTATATATATATGGAGAGAGAGAGAGAGGAGAGATACAGACAGATAGGAACTAATCAGTCTAGTGTGAAAAAGATCTCTTACTACTGAAGAATTGTCAAATTCTCAAATTTTAGAGCTGAAAGAACCTCAGCTGTTCCGTCCTTTCAGTTTTCAGATAAAAACTCACAGGTCCAGGTAGAAGTGTCTGCCACTGACTATTCTCAGGTTGCATAACTTTCCAAAAGTCATACTGGTACTTGGTAGAAATATATAATCTATTGAAAATTTAATTGCCAAAGAGTAAATTCCTAGCCCTACTGCATTCCCAGCTTGGAACCAGTAGACCTTTTGCAGAGAGAGACTGTGCTAGTCAGCATTCTGTCACTGTTAAAAAATATTGGACACAATAAACAAAGAAAAAAGATTTATTTTAACTCACAGTTTTGAAGGTTTTTAATCCCACAGTTGACTGGCCCATTGCTTTTGGGACTGCGGCAAGGCAGAATATTATGGTAGGGAGCATATGGTAGCTGTTCACTTCAAGGCAGTTGGGAAGCAGAGAGGGAGAAGGGGCTGGGGCCTAATATCTGCTTCAAGAGCATGCCTCCAGTGATATAACTCCCTACCACTAGGCTCTCCTCCCTAAACATTCTACTGCCTTTCAATAGTGCCACAGGCTAATGACCAAGCCTTTAATACATGAGACTTTGGGGGACAGCTCAGATTCAAACCACCACAGAGACCAAAGCTGAGTCAAATCAAGAAAGCATACACTCTTAACCCATGTTCATTTTTGGCCTTGTCCATAAGCTTGTAGAAAATGCTTTACACAATAGATGGGTACATCAAAACCCAGATGATGATGTACATCATAAACATATGCAAATATTTAAATCTAAATGCCAAAGGCTAAAACATTTCAGGTGGATAAAAACACTTGAAGGGACAAACCAACCAACCATCAAGGAGAAGAGCTACTGGCTATACTATGTTGTATGAACATTTGTTTTAAGTGATAAATGGTCGCAATCTGTGCATTATGAGTTGTTGGAGAAGGTTGTGCAGGGGTTATTACATAATAAGATTTATGTTACACAGAAGAGATAGCGTGCTTTGGTTTTACTGATGATAACACATAATTCCTACTCTCCATCCAGCTGGCAAAGTCTTCCCATACCTACCTGCATGCTCTAATTCAGACTCATATTATGTGCCTGAAGAAATTTTGCTGAATCATTCTCAAGAATATCAATACAGGAGGTATAGGTAAAAATAAATAGGCAGAAAGCATACACTTTCTCCCTTCTTTCTTTAAATTTCAAGGTTCAGCAAAAACTCTTTCCACATATGCTTTCTCTCAGTGGTCCAACACCCCATAACCTTAATCCCTTTCTTAGTCTATGTATGCAGTTTAGCATAAAATCATGCTTATTTTTTCCTTCTTGGGCAATTAGACTCCCTTGGAGATAATGATAAAATAAGGATGAGGATTCAGGCTACCTTTGGAAATTTTCCCGATGAAAGAAAGTCAAATAAATCAGTCTTGTTTATTGATGATGCCTGCCGGGCCAGAACAGTTAAGTCACAACCTGGAAAGGGAGGTCTGTCGGGTCCTTGTCTACTGGAAGATGTGACCACTCCACAAGTTGTTATAGTCTGGCTCGTGTGAAAATCATAACTTTCACCTTCAGCTTTATCTTTTCTCTTTACTACAAATCTAATTGCCTGGCTTAAAAGATATCTTTAATATTTTCAATTATAAGGTCCTTTACCCAAAACCCTAAATATTACTTCAAATATGAAGTTTATGGACACTTTGGTCCTATATGCTTTCCTTAGAACAAGCAAAAAGTGATGCACAATCAATCTACCCTGTGAGCTGTTTATGGCAGATTAAAACTATTTTCTTTCTCTCTGGTCTTCCATATTTGCAATTACTAAACTTTATTTGTAATCATTCCTATATCGTTAGAGAGGAAACTATTTAGATTTTAAAAGATAAAATTATTGGACCTTATGGTATTTGATATGACTTTAATGAGATGGTTCAAGATAACCATATATGATTTGAGTGGTGAGTCCATATCCTATACCTATGGTAGGTGAGGCTGGACATTTGATAGGGTAAGAGGAAAAAGGCATCAGTTTCTAGAGAAAAGCAGCAAGTACCCCTAGAGAAACCTGACTTATATCTTGTTAAATAAGGCTCTCAAAGAAAAAGATGGCAATTGTGTTCATTTCCTCTCACTTTCCTTTAAAATATTTTTACCCTATGGCCAAATAAACTCTAAGTCCCTGTACTCTCCATTTTGTACTATTATTCCCCCTAACCCACTAGCCCCCAAAAGATGCTGTCTGATGTCTAACTACATGTGAGAGAGTAGTTTCTCAACTATCTTTTCCACTAACTGAATACACTGCTCTATGGTGGTAAATCTTTACTTCACTGGAGTAAGGCAATAAGAATGAAGGATAAAGTATCACAAAAATATCAAAATAGTCAGAGATACTTGGAATATTAGTGTAGACATGACTCTTACTGAGGAGGTGGGGAATACTTGTTAGCCATACAGAGATTAGCATCCCTATGCACTATTGCTGAAGTTAAGAATCACTGCATTGGGGCTGGAGATTTAGCTCAACAGCACAGCGCCTGCCTGGCAAGTGCAAGGTCATGAGTTCAATTCCCAGTACCGGAAAACAACAACAATAACAACAACAAAAAGAATCACTTCCTCAGTCAGAGTTTACTAGTGAAACAGATGTAACACAAGATATACAAATATATATGAATTTACAAGATTGGCTTACAAGGGCCACCCACAGAATCAGATGAAGAAGAGTACAGAGGGTCTGTCTGCACACTGGCCACCAAAGGATTCAGTCAAAAGTTTGGAACTCACTGCAGTGTCCCCCCATGCGAGTCATGTCAGGAGGCCCATGGGCCTTAGAGGGAAGGCTGAAGAGTCTACGCTGGAAGGCTGAAGAGTCTACGCCAGATGGCTGAAGAGTCTACGCCAGAAGGCTGAAGAGTCTATGCCAGAAGGCTGAAGGATCTGCATCTGAAGCTGAAGAGTCTGCTCCGGAAGCTAGGAGATGCCATCCAAGGTGAGGGCAAAGACTGGAGCTCCTCCAAAAACACCAGAAGCAGATTGGTCCTTCATCCTTTATGCCATCCAGGTGACAAGCCACCCTAGGGTGAGGAATTGCTCAGTTGATTTAGTTAAGCTTCTCTTACTCAAATTGACACAATTAATCAGCCATCACATTGTGTAACATGAGCATATGCTACTTATATAAACATACAACTGTTGTAGGTGTCTGAGGTTTGCTGATGCAAATACCATCTTTGTAGAAGGAGAGGAAATTGAATGCCTGCTATATATCAAACATAATACTCTATATTTCTCTCATTCAATCTTCATCCTATAAAGTGAGTATCATTTGTCCCTGGTACCATCACTATCACCATTTTACAGAGGAGAAACTCTGACAGGTTAAGTAACACTCATGATTGCACAATTAACAGGTTAACCAGAATTCAAACCCAAATTTATCATCACAATACATACTATTTTTAAAGAGTACAGACAGGTAAAACAGTTCTATATAAGATTTAAAACATTCTCTAACTACAGGCTATCGTGTTTGTTATTTGTACTAAAATATGAAGCTATTTGGGAGCTTCCAGTGTCGTTGCCCATGAAGGTTGTTAGCGGTCTGTGAGGACAATGGCTCCTACCCCTACAGAAGGCTGTGACTTCTCCTCAGTAATGCTCAAGCGTTCTCTGACACACAAAAGCTGGCAGTGAAACTGCAAGCTTCATGCAAACTCATTCTAGAAATATATCTTGTGCTACTCTAATGTAATGAATAAGGAGTACATACAGGTAAACATAATCTGAATAAAGATGCATATGTGTTGGGAAAATGCCCAGCTCCATTAAATTCCTTTTCTCACCTCATCCATTTATAAGTCAGATTATTCTACGTACCTACTTTTGAGATTAGGCCTGAGCATACTCTAAACAGAGTTGCTATTGTGGGCAAAATTTAAATTGCAGTCCCTGACTAAATAGTAACTGCTTCATTCAATCATTATGAAAATTAAATGTGATAATTAATAAAAAGCAGGTATTACATTGTCTGGCTATATTAGTTTGCTAAGACTGTGTTATGGCTTGTGTCGAGATGTCCCCCCAAAGCCTCATGCCATTGTAGGTAGGGCTTTTCAGAGGTGGGTGGTTCTCGGATGTGTGATACTGGGATCAAGGATGTTATGCTGAGATTGAGTCACAGTGCAATGCTAGGAATAAGGGTGTGAGTACTACCTGCCCTAAGGACCAGAAGCCTAGGTAAAATATAAGAGACAAAAAGAGAGCTGCTGTTGTCATTGCTTGTCACTTGTTGCTGCTGCTGGGCTAGTGCTGCTGTTTCTCTGCTTTGGTGCCCTCATGCCTTTTGACTGCCATGAACCGTTTCTCCTCTCTGATGCTCCTCTGACATGCCACCCTGCTTTGGAGCCAGCCAACAATGAAGTGAAACATCTGCAAACTGTGAGCTAAACAAACCTTCCCTCCTTTAACTTTGGGTATCAGGTATTTTGTCTCAGCAACAAGAAAAGTAACTAAGATAGGCTACCTAATGAAATACCATAGGGTGGGTGGTTTAAATAACAGAAATTTAGCCAGGCACGGTGGCACACACCTGTAATCCCAGCACTTAGGAAGCTGAGGCAGGAGGATCATTGTGTATTCGAGGCCAGCCTGGGCTACAAAGTGAGCTCAAGCCCAGCCTGAATTGCATAGCGAGAACTTGTCTCAAAAAATAAATAAATAAATAAACAACAGAAATTTATTTTTCATAGTTTTAGAGTCTAGAGGTTCAAGATCAAGGAATCAGTAAGTCCTCCCTTCATAGTGTAAATATTTTTCTTTTTTTCTGTGTCCTCACAGTCCTTTTGTTTGTGTGAGTGTGGCCTGATG